TCCGCCTCTTACTAATGGCACGTCTGCCGTTCATCCGTAGACGCACGCTCACGGGGTGTCCAAGTATCATGGCCCTTGGAACCATTTTCTGTTTTCAGCAATACTACGGACTGACCATATGCTGTTCCGTTTCTTTCATTGGTGAGCCGGCCCCACAACGTACATACCTGTGCCTCCTTCTGCGCAGCCTGCAGGGCCCCCCGTTCCTCCTCCAGCGCCTGCTTCTCCCCCTCCGAGCTGTTGAGCGTCGACTCCGCCATGCTGAAGCTGTACGCAACGCAGAACCTCTGCAACCGGCTCTCCTCACCCTCGTTAGCCTTCCATTTCAGCCAGTGGGTCTTCTGCCCCCTGAGCGTGTCTAGCCTAGGAGTGATCTCGTCCTGAAGAATGGCGTTGATCTCATCCACCTGAACAGCAGCAAAAAAGAACAAAAAAACTTCGACTGTGGTCCTATCTCGAACCGGTACAATAGTCTTTCTTAAAACTCGAAGCGCCAGGGAGGAAGCGTGTCGAATATCGCTACTGCCGTAGCATATATACAGCACATGCAAAACGAACGGGAAGAGGTGTCCTAGCACTTCCATCTACATAACTGGCAAGGCTTGCTTGCAAACAAACAAAAAACGCAGCCTCGCAGTCGAAGTCGCAACAGCAGCGGCACAAGCACTACAGCGACACAAGCACGGGATGGCATCAGGAAACACACACGGCCAGGACCATCACCTTTTGCTGCTTCTTCTCGATGGTCTTCTGGGCGCTCTGCTTCTTCTGCTCGAACATGCGGGTACCCGCGGCCTCCTCGATCATCCCCAATATCTCAGGCGGTTTCATGTTGAGCACCTTCGTGATGCGGCCCTGTCCAGAACGCGCGAAAACACGGGAGCGTTGGGTGCGGTTGTGCTACGCACAGGCCCCTTTGGGAGAGCACGGATGGCTAATTTGCAGAATATTTTGAGTCGGGTTATAACCGCGAGAAGGGAGTGAGTGCCACACGTTGTGGGTGCGATTGTGTCACGCGCAGGTCCATTTGGGAGCACACAGCCAGCTATCTCGTAGAATAAGGGGATGGGGGCGGGGGAGCTGGGGCGATGTTCCGGAGACCGTTCGGGAGACGGGGCAAAGGAGACCTCGAAAACGTTTCGTCAGAAGGGGGTCTGCACTGCCGTGTACACAACCGGCGCCTCACCCACCAGCGGCAGCACCACCAACAGCACCAACAACACCATCGCCTCCAATTTATTTATTTATTTTTTGCCTTCCGACAATTGCAGATGTACCTCAGAAAACTTTCACTTAATGTCTCATACTCTACATGAATATTAAACCAATACGAAGTACAACAACATACGTAGGACTTATTTCTACTGTCATTTACATCGTAAAATTATCTCCTCTTCAACTTACCAGTGACAATCCTGATGGTATCCTATATGCGTTCGTAAGCTTGCCAATACTAACAATGGCGGAAGCACCACCAAAAAAAACAGCAAAAAAAGTAGATCCACACCACCACCCCCAACGACAGCAGCACCCACAATATCACAACCACAACCGCAACGACGACGACGGTACCTACACGCCACCTGTGGCAGCGGCAAGGACGGCGGCGACTCGCCTGCATGATGAGGAAGTGCGGGTTGTTGACGTTGAGCTGCACGGAGTGGAACAGGTTGGTGACCTGGCTCTGCTGCACGCTCCTGCCGTTGATGAGGTATTTGTTCTTGCCGCCGATGACAACTTGCCTCGTGATGGTCACCTCGTCGAACTCCTCGTACCCCATGGGGCTGTCACAAAACAGAGGTGAGAGAGAGGAAAGTAAGAAATGGCACGAAGAAAATGCACGAAGAAAATGCACGACCGTTACACCAAAAGAGTAGGTTCGGGAACGTGACTGTCCCCTCGTCAAGCTAGAGCTATACTCGGAATGCATGGGGCTGTCAAAGAAGAGAGATCGGAGACGAGGACAAGTGAGAAGACAACAGAATACCGTATATGACACAAGATAACACACCCCCTGGACCGATTTTCAAAGCTCGATTACTCCACGACGAAGAGGATGCATAAACGAAACGATACATTTTTCGAAAAGCTCTCGATGAGACGATTTCAACGCCGCCGTTTTCGGCGCTGTGACTGTTCCTGCAGTTAAGAAATCGAGCTTGGAAAAAATGGTCAAGGGGGTGTGTTATCTTGTGTGATATACGGTAGGTAACACGCCAAGTGATGTAGAGCGCGAACCGTTGCAGGTAGAGTTGGTTCGGGTGCGTGCGTGATGACGTGTGCTCGTACCCCATGGGGCTGTCTTTCATTCAGAGGTGAGAGAAGAGAATAGAGAGAGAGCAGAGAGAGATGAGAAGGAAAGGAGAAATGGAACGAATGAGTAGCACGATCATACCTAAGCTAGTTTTAAGTACATGTACACGACGGTTTTCGGGCACACTCAAGGTTGTGGATATCTCCGTTGCCATTTACAGCCGGGAGCACAGCAGGCAAGCTAGTAGTGGCGGATTTAAGGATACGATCAACCCCTTTTTCGAAGGGTTGGCAACACTGGTGTAGCTAGTTTCCTTTACCTACGTGAAACTCGCCGCATGTCGAGACGACAACTTGTACTTGTGGCGTAACGGCGGTGCTGCATTGTGTTTCCATTCACGATTCCCCTTGGGCAAGGCGCAAGAAACGACGGCTTTATTTTATTTGGCGTGGTGTAAATGTTGTCTGTTGCTGGGCGACGGCATGACGGTGCAGCAGCAGTGCGCCGCATGGCGCTCAGCGACCGATTTTTCTTCTGTACATAAAAAGAAAAGCACATGATCGTGAGCATTCGAAGAACACTACTGCTTGATGCTGTAACAAAACGTATGCAGAGCAGCCCATGTCATTTCCCAACCGACACGACCTACAGCAGTGTAGCAGTAGATACAAGACCGGCAAGTAGTTAGAACGACGGCACCATAGAGCCGGTTTGACAGCCAGACACACCTGCCCTTCTTGTCCACATTGCTGAACACGAGCGTGACGCTGGCCTTGGTTACGCCAGCCTGGCCCTGCTTGTACACGAGCTCCTGCAGGTTGGACACCCTCACCTGCGAGAGGTTCGAGATACCCAGCACGAAGCAGATGGCGTCCAGGATGTTGGACTTGCCGCTGCCGTTGAGGCCCGTGATGGCGTTAAACTGCTGGTCGAAGCCCTGCAGCACCGTGCGCGTGGCGTAGGACTTGAAGCCATCGATCACCACCTCCCTGATGTGCATGGCGGTGGTTGCCGAGCGGCGTCCTCGCAGCTAACAGCAGTCCCTCACAAGACCAAAAAAAAAGCGAGCCCACGCCGACGCTGCTTCCCGACGTTGTCCCCGTGTTTTTCCTCGCCAACCCGTCCAAGCCAGCGCACAGAGCACGGTCACACGCTCACGGCGGTGTTTACCCGTCCAATTCACTCGCCGCTACTTGGTTTCGCACCCGTCCACGTAGCACTCCTCCGCGATGCTGGCTCGGCATCCGCCGCGCTTTCGTGCTTGTGGCCGTTGCATATTTAAAGGGGGCCCCGTGAACGAACATTTTGAAATTTCCCTCGCGGATGCAGCGAAAACCCCACAAAGAAGAGGAACTCTGCGCACCATGGCGTGCTCCAACGGGCATGCTGTGATTGTGCTTGCCACTGACGACGTTCCTGCTGCAAGATTGCGCCCCAATGCGCGGGACCGCTGGAGGGTAGTGTCGGTTTTGTTGTGCTGGCTCCAGCTGCATGAACTGCTCCGAAATTCTGGGAATAATCGACCATCTCTGAGCGTTAGTAACGCAATAGAGCGGCAGCAGCAGCAGCAGCAACAGCAGCGGCAGCAGCAGCAGCAGAGGCGAAATACGCGCAAGAACAACCGGCGAACAACGATGTCCGGTGACCGGGGAAGCAGTGGAGGGAAGAAGGTGGGCCCACCGGCTGTGTCGAAAGGATTGTGTTGGCTGTCCAGGATACAACAGCAGCGCAGCCTCAAAGTTGGCTGCAGTAGATTTTGGGGATGCAAGACTGCTGTACCACTCCACTCCCCCTCTGGACCGATTTCAAAGCTCGACTAAGCCACGACGAAGCGAGAGATGCCCGCATCAAATTGTACTGTAATACTTTCGGAGAGCTCTCGATGGTTCCAATGCTGCCATTGTTCGGCAGCGTCACTAGAGTGATTGTGCTGCAGAGAGAGTGAATCGAGCATTGAAAACCGGTCAATGGGTTGTGATCTCCGCCATGCTACTCAGTCAACTGTGAGGTAAAGACTTGTCCACTATGCTACTCAGTCAGCTGTTAGGGAAAGACTTGTCCACTATCCTACTCAGTCAGCTGTAAGGTAAAGACTTGTCTACTACTAAGCTACTCAGTCAGCTGTTAAATAAAGACTTATCCACTATGCTACTCAGGCAGTAGATAGTGGATAAGTCTTTGTCAAACAGTGTGGCATCTATACACCACCAGTACACAAGCAGTAGAAACATGTTTTCACCTTCTCCGAGCATGCAGCTGGAATTTTTTTTGTTGTTGTGGTCTTCACGTCAAATCAGTGCTCACAGCATTTGTGCCGTTTGCTCCAACCCGTGGTCACACAGAAGGGTTGTCGTATTGAGGGCCCCTATTTGCCCATCCGAAGATTGATTGGACGCTTTTTTTTCGCTCTCATATTTTCCGAGTGTGCAGCTGGAGGACACCTAGGCCCCCTTTTTTTGGTTGCCTTCCTCGCGCGTTAACAAACCGTCCGTCCTGCTCCCGCCCTCTGCAGGGCACGCACGGCCACCGGAAGCGCAGCCGCACCCCCTCCTCCTCCGGCTCGGAGCCCCGGATCGCTCCACGGAACCCCTTCGGCCGCACTCGGGGTGGCACTAGCAGCAGCAGGAGTAGCGCTCGCAACAACAAGAACGACCACACCCCCCCCGGCGTGGCTTCGCGATCGTCCCTCGCTGCCACAAACGATGAGTTCCTCGACGACGTGCGGTACGACGTCGCCCCCAAGGACATGAGCGTCGCCACGCAGGGCGGGGGCGGTGAAGACGATAGCGTGGTCCTGCAGCAGCTGTGCAGCCTCGGGAGCGTTCTCGCGGGAGGGAAGTGTGACGGTGGGGGGGGACGTGGGGCCGGGGGCGGTAGCAGTGGCTCCGCGGATGGCGGGGGCAACAGCAAATCGAGGCGGGGGGGGTGTGCCACAGGGTCGGTCGACGGCGGCAGTAGTAGCCTGCTGACGCGCTGGTTGCAGCCAACAACCGCGGGGGCAGCTTGTTCGAGCAAGGCTGCGGCGAGAGAGGGAAGCGTCGGTTCCTCTGGGAGCGGTAGTGCCGGTTCGGGCCGAAGAAGTGGCGGTGGCGGCTGCGGCGGGAGAAACGTCGGCGATTGGGCGAAGAAGGCGCTTCTTCGAAAGAAATTCGCCGACGCGGAGCGAGGGCGCAGGCTAAGACTTCGGCTAGAAGAAGAGGCAGGCGCTACTGCAACGTCTCTCGCCGGAGGCTGCTTGGAGTCCTGCGTTACGAGGCCGCCGGCAGCGGCGGCGGCGGAGCAGGCGGCGATGGAAGCCGTGGCCGCATCTTCCGCGTCCGGATCGAGCGTCACCGGGAGTCTCTCCCCGCCACCAGCAGCAGTAGCAGCTCCTGCGGCCCCGGCGGTCTCCTCCGAAGAAATTAACGGTAACCCCTTAGCGGCGCAGCATCGCCGCTCCCCAGAGGCAACGGTAACCGTGGCCTCTGTGGCGGTACCCTCGGCCGTAGACTCTGCCGGCGCCGTGAGTGGGCCGGGCGCGGCAAGCCGGGACGACGGTGGCGCTGTTTCCGGTGTCGGTGTTGGTAGCAGCACGGTCGTGATCGAGGTAGACGAGTACGGCGACGACTTCGATTTCCTTACGGACGCCGACCTGCAGGCCCTGGAGGACCAAGCCGCGAAGACGTCTTCGGCCGTGGCCTCAAGCCAGCTATCCGCCGCCGCCGTCGCCGCATCTCAGCAAACCCAGACTCAGAAAGACGTTGGTGATCATCACCGGGGCAATAGTGGTAGCGCTGATGACCGACAGACTCCCCCGCCGGGCTCTGCTAATCGGATCACCGGCTTATCAGGGTCACAGGCAGGAAGAAACGGCTTCATCTCCTCCGACCGCAGTGCTAACAGCGGCGGCTCGGGCGTGGCATGTCGCGGTGGTGGGTCAGGCAGGGAAGGATCGAGGGCCAAGCCGCAGCAGCAGCAAGTCGCAGGGTCGAAGCGAGCGTTCAACGGGTCCGCCGGCCGGCCCCCGCTCTCGGCAATCGGTCCCAACCCCAAGCGCGGCGGCGAGCATCGACAGCAGCAGCAGCTGCAGCAGCAGCGGCAGCAGCGGCAGCAGAGCAGCAGGGGGAACCCCACCCCAGGACGGGGAGAGGGAGCGACCGACAACGCCTCCTTCCGGATCCCGCCGTTCGGGAGAAATTCCGGCGGCGGCGGCGGCGGGGGGGAGGCGGGGGGCGTGGTTGCGGCGGGATCCGCTCAGCGTGCCCCCCCTCACGGCTCCTCCTCCTCCTCCAACTCCTCTGAGCTCTTCACAACCTACGGCAGCATGGAAGACTTCACGAAGTCGATGAAGAACGATCGGGGCCCCCAAGCAGACCGCGGGGTCCCCGATAAGGGACAGGGGCGTCTAACCGAGTGGGCGCAACAGCAGCGGGTGATGGCGGACGGGGCACTGGCAGGGAGTGAGGAAGCCGCTGTGATTTCGAGCGATCATGATCACCGTGGTTCTTCGTCTTTTGTTGCTCCGAGGGCGGGCTCTCCTAGTCCTCGGCGGCGGTGGCGGCCCGCCCTCGTCCATCGCCGTTTCCTGGTCCTCGAGGTGACCTATGTGTCTGCGAGGAACGGCCGCAGCTGCCGGGAGAAGGTGCTCATGGCTCTCGAGCAGCAGGGCCCCCAAGAGGATCCCGATACCGCCCCAGCGGCGGCGGCGGCGGCGGCGGCGGCGGCTGGGGAGGCGGCGACGGTGAACCTCCCGGCGGATGATCATGGGGAGGGCGCCGGGATGGCTCAGCAGAGGAAGATCACCCTGCTCGGGGACTGGTACGACTGCGAGGTGGAGCCCGGCGACCGCGTGCACGTTCTTTTCCCGATGCCGGCGGCCGCGGCGGCAGCAGCGGCGGCGGGAGAGGGCTTGGGCATGGAAGAGGAGGCAACGCGGGACGTAGTCGTGGACAACGCTTCCGGGAGGCTCGTGGTCGTCCACCCGGACATCCTGGTGTCCCCCACCAAGGTCGCCGAGACGGTCGCGTGCGCCCGGAAGGCCGTCCTGCAGTCGCGGCTAGCCTCCGACGCCAGCAAGAGCAAGGCTGCCGTCATGGGCAACCTCAAGCACGAGCTCTTCGAGACGTCCCTCCTTGCCGCGGCGGCGGCAGCGGTGGCGCCGGGGTGGCAGGGGCAAGGGGGGGGCGGAGGGCGGCGGGGCGGCGGCGGCGGGGCGCCACCGCTGCTGACGCCCCAGTACATGGCGGAGCTGGTGGACCGTATCGTGGTGTCGCAGCTGGAGGCCCTGTACGGGGCGGGCTTCGACGAGGACGCTGCGCGCGGCGAGCTGCTGAGCGTGAGCGGGTCGATCCTGGATTGGCACCGGTCGTTCCTCGTACGGAACGACGGCGGCGGCGGCGGCGGCGGCGGCGGCGGCGGCAGTAGCGGGCTTCGACGCTTCGCTCATAGCGGCCGCGGTGGGGGCGGTCGTAGCCCCGGCAGCGACCGCAGCAACGCCTCCGCGGCCGGCGGGAAGAGCGGTGGAATGGCGAGTCTTACGTCGGACGGCGCCATGGCGGCGACCGTAGCTGTTTATCGCGTGCTTGCCACCGAAGACGACGTGTGGAGTCCGGTCCTGGGGCTTAAGGGTATCATGGACGCCACGGTGGAGGCTGTCGTTGAGCCCCTAGTGGGTAGGGGTGGGGGCGGGGGGGCTCCGCTGTTGGTGATGCCCGTGGAGGTGAAGACTGGGAAGCGAATAGGGGAGGCCAACAGCAGCCATCGTGCCCAGGTATCTAACCGCCCCATAGACAGCATCTGATCGAAGCGCCATCTAAGTGTTTTTAAGAAATCTCTCTCAGCTTGTCTTTGTTCTTTTGTGCTTCACGTGGTGATTAGATCGCTCGAACCTGGCAGATACGGGCATGGAGGGTCTCGCACGTTTTTTGTTTTGTTTCTTCGTCTCAATTGTGCGTCTACGTCGTCTGTACGACCAAGCCACACAGACAAGACGGGTGAAGCCCACACCCTCCGAGAAGACCGAATGATTTTTCTCCCTCCATCGATGACATCGTCCTCTGTGTTCCCTGCATGCCTGGTGTGGGGGGACGGGCAGGTGATGCTGTACACGCTGCTCCTCCGCATGAGGTATGGGCAGGACGCCTCCACCAGGGGTCTCCTGGTTTACACCGCCGCCGACGGTCTGCACACGGGTAAGATATCCCGCTGAGAAAGTAACGTGACGTATGTACGCACACATACATGAAAGGCCTTTTGGAAGCGGCTTTTTTTCTTCGCCTGAGGCATTGTCATATGCCACCCACCCTCCGTGCATGCCGTGCATTCCAATATGCCAAGCATGCTGAACATGCAGACCTGCGCGACTTGAAAGAGCGTGTCAGCCAGCGGTGCGTCTGTCGGCAGCAAGACAGTCCATACAGTAGGGGGCCCTCAATAATGCCGGTATGTGTTCAGAGAGCAAAGCGGCACTATACCGGGCACCGGCACTATTCAGAGTACAGAAAGACTTGATATTCCGGTGTGTGCGAGCCGAAAACACCGGCACTATACCGGCAACCGGCACCATTCAACCGGCACTATATTGGGCCACCCACTGTACTACAATACAAGCAAACGCAGCGCACGTGCGCTCCACCCACCCCCGTC